ACTCAATCGGTCGAAGTCGCAAGCCGGTCTGACTATGCGATCTGTCTGGATACCGGCTCCACATGCTCGGAGTCCAAAGGTTACGCAGTGTTTTTTTTTACCTCGTGGTGATCAAAGCCTTTCTTTTTTCCACTGCGACCTGAAAGATCTCCGAATAATCATATACATTATTTACTTATTTGACCCTTCGTTGTTTAGGACTTTCCGCGGTCCTATTCACTTAATTCTTTATATGTCATATTGCTTTCCGTAGAGTTTTCACCTTTTCGTTGTACAAATAGCAATGTTTGGATAAACCTTGATTAGATATGAACTAACATTGAGAAAACTAAAATTGAATTTTTTACGTACGCATAAATATACACATATTTAATAAAATAGCTTTGGTTGGATTTGGACCAAAGCCCGCGCAGGTGCCCCTTTTGCAGAGAAAGGTTGCTCGATGTGTCCCACATAATAGAGGCGTGCCATGCCTTTGCGCCATACAGAGAGCGTGTAGGGATGCCGCCGGACTTAAGAAAAGTTCTCGAGCACTGCAGCGAGTTTCAGGGTCCCCTGTTCCGTTTTTTTTAGGGGAAATTGGTTTTTTTCATTGTATATAGTATGTCTTATGTGTTGTGTGTCTATATGTTTTGTCTGAGTGCATGTATTTATTAGCGTGAATGCCGAGGGGTGAGGATGAAATATAACATCATCATCGCCCCTCGAACGTTGAGAGCGTATGAGTGTGTGTTCGGGGTCGATGGCGGAATATTTATAAAAGTACTCCATCGACCCCAATCTAGATTAGTCCACCGACCTGGTGGAGGAATATCAAGTACTCCACCGACCAAACGGAATGAGTGTATTGTATGAATATAGTGTTTGAAAGTGTAAATAAAATATTGACTTAGTTTGGGGCTGAAATGACCTAGATGTCGGAAGCCCCAGTAAATAAATAAAAAATAAAATAGCTTTAATTTATTAATAAAAAAGTAATAAAAAAACAAAGAGGTCCATCTTTCTTATAAAATGGTTAATATTTACTGAGTATTTTAGACATATAATCATCATAAATAAGGAGAAAATGGAATAAACACAACGTACCTCTGTATGCTAATGCCTATGTTTTTAAAATTATGTTAAAATAAACACGAATTATAAAATAATATTTGCAAAGTATTTTTGTTATTANTGGCGGAGTTATGTACGTACTGGGTCGCCAATCCCAGGACGTGAGATTTTTAGTTCGTCTCAAGAACCTTCCTAGGGACGGTAACCCTAGGGTGTGTACTGTTAGTGTACTTATGTCAGTGTAAGTGTAGGTAGGGGGATGTGTAATATGTGGGTGGACGCAGTTTACCCTCATGCCCGGGAGGCCCTTCACCAGTTATGGTATTGTATACTAATAGCAAAGTTTGGTTAAACCTTGGTTAGAGATGAACTGACAGTGAGAAAGAACGAGCATAATTGAATTTTTAACATACACATAAAAATACATATATTTAATAAAATAGCTTTAATTTATTAATTTAAAAAAACAAAGAGATCCATTTTTGTTTTAAAAAGGATAATATTTACATAGTACTTTAGATACACCCCAATCATCATAAATAAGAAGAAAATGGAATAAACAGAACGAACTGTATGCTAATGCCTATTTTTTTTAAATTATGTTTAAAAAAAATTTTTGTTTTATTTTTTTACAACAATTTTTTTCGTTTAATTTATATTTGTAAAACTTTTTTGCTTATTATCGTATTTTACCAAGAGAAAAGAGGATGTGTTGGATACTTCCTGATGGCATTTTTTCCTATATTTTTAATATATTTATTTTTATTTGTTCTTAATTAAAGGGCGTTGATACGACCCACGTGTAAAAGCCCAGCGTTGTTTGCTGTGGAGCGAAAACAGGGTATTTCTACCGCGGTGCTTTTTCATTGTCTCGTTCTGTAAACAAAGCTCGTGGGTTGCCAAATCCGTAATCCTTTTTGCGGCAAAAACCGGTAGAAGACTAAGGAGATTAACGGAATGCAACTTAACCCCGTACAGGCCATCACGGCGAACTTTGCCTCGATCCGGATCAATTAATTGTTTCGACGTTTTTTGAAAGGTGAAAGGATCAAATGTTTTCCTTTAATTCGAAATTACTGGATTCAATTGTCCTTCTCTAAACATCATATCGAATTAGCTGATGTAAAAAAAACAAAACAAAAAACTAGCTAAGTTAGTTCTATTATCTGCCATCAAGTTGTTTCGATTTCAAACGCATCTATCTCTATATATAATAAATAATTAATAGTACCGGGTCGATCATCTTTACATCATTAATATACCCCATCACATTTCTTTGATTATTATTTGCAATTATATTACCCTAATATTAGTTAATTAATATATTAAATCTTCTGGAAAATTAGTTATGAAGAATCCGAAACATTCAAATAATTAAAAATCGGATATTGAAACTTCAAAAAACCTTTCTGAAAACAATTGATCTAATAGAAGGAATGTTGAAGATTAATATTAATTATTTTAAATGATTATTTGGTAGTCTTGAGAAGAGCTCTGGTGTAACATAGGTTATAGAAAAACATTTTCTTTATCGTGCCAACGTTTCGATCTTTACTGAGATCATCTTCAGGGTCTGGGATTTATAAACATTGTTTAAATTTTACAAATACTTGAAGGATTTGAAAAAAACGAATTCATACAATGCTAGAAAATTTTAGATAAAAAAAGCAGCAATTTCTAGCATTTTCTATCATTGTATAAATTCATTTTTTTAATCTAAAATATTATTAATATTCAAAATATATTAACCTAAAATATCACACGACCTCCAAATAATCATCAAGCAACGGTCACTAAACACCACATATTATTTTAAATTCTAAATTCATTATTGTAAGTTTGGAGGTTTAGGTCAATATGAGGAGGATTAAAAAATAAGAGGAGAGGCGGTGAATATAAAATACAAATAGAACACCTATACCACTTCTAGGCCGTCTGTTCAATATATTAAAATATTTAGATGGAGAACAGGTTTGAATATGACTGGTGTATATATATATAATCGATCTGAGAAACGAGAAGACTTTGTCCGAGGCGATCCGGCAACTCTGGCCAAACCAATATACCGCCATATCTAGAGCTTGGATCGAGGTATTGACGGATTTTGTCTCGATCTTCGCGTCTAAGGCTTAATATTGTGTAGCCTACCTTTCCGGGCCTTCATGGACCCGACCACAGTATTGCAATGGGTAAATAACAAGCTATCTGGCATCTTGGAGTTGTGCATCGACTTCCTAAGTTTGATGTGCGTTATAAAAGACAGATTCTTGTTAGATCTTTTCGCCGTGCTTTTGTTCAAACCATACGCTGAGTTGGAGCGTCTCCGAAAAATGGTAGTAGTTGAATGGGCACCCGGACTGTCGGATTGGAGGCCAAAGAACGGTCGAGACGCCGGATGTCGACACGACCCACTCTCCGGACCTTATTGTCGTGATCCAATAAGTAATAAAGATTTATTTAAAAAAATAGGTGGCAGCGTCAGTGGAAAGGTTCGTCTGAAACCCTTGGACCCAGAAAAACTAATTCGCTGAAGAAGCATCGCCCTATTAAGAATCGGCAATTCCCAGTTAACAAACGCATTGAGCATTGACGCTAGTTCGGAAGATTTAAGATTGCAGGAAATGGTTAAGTTTGGTTAGGTCAGGATATTGATATGAATCGTTTGATTTGTATCGTAAGTTGATCGTTCTAGGTGTCTTTTAACAAGTCTGAAGACTACATTATGATTTTGAAGACGCTTGAGTGGGTTCCAGTCCTCGTTTGAGAATGTACAGCTCAAGGTAGTGGACTAGCTGGCAGTGGAAAGACCACATGAACCATTGCTCAACGTATGTGGCATGGGTCTACAGGCTGAGATGACTGGATCTTTATGAAAGCGTACGACGGCTGTATCTCCCGCATAGGTGGTAAAGATAGTTTCAGAAAGTGTAGGAATATCCGCGATTTATAATGTGTTAAGGATGGGTCATGAGAGTTTTACTTGGTGTCTGGTACATCTGGGCGATAGCAACACTAATAGTCTATCGACACCATTTAATTTTTTCCTCATTTTCCTATAGGGATTCACAACAACAAAGATCATTATACCAATTCCCACATTCAAAAATATAGTTTGGAATGATTGAGGTTCGAATTCATGGCTGCAGAAATTCGGACCCCAGTGCCTTCCAGCGATGAGTGGACACCCTGACTACACCCTTCTGTTGAGGCCGGCCACTGACAACCCAAGTCGTTTTATGAATATTAATGTAAAAGTATCCCTACATGGCATCAAACAATAAAGAATACTAACCATGATGGAAATAACAAAAAAAACATTATTGAATTGGGTAATTTTTAATCAAAATTCTTTTCAATTAATTAAGGTTTTGGTTGAGATAAAAAAGTCAGCGTCACAAGCGGGATGCGAACCGACGACCTTCGGCTAAATACACCGCTGCTCTACCGTGAGCTATCGTGACTTCGATCCTCTCGGATTTGGTCAAGCGGACCACTAAATCTAATAAAATGTAATAAGAAAAATGAAGCATATTTCACTAAACCTCTTCGAGAATCAAATGGATTACACGACATTTGAAGAATAGCGAAAAGGAGGGAAAATTCAATAGGTGGGGTTGAGATGGGAAGTTAGTGTCCGAGTGGATCGAAGTCACGACAGCTCAAGTGTAGAGCAGCGGCGTATTTAGCGGAAGGTCGTCGGTTCGAATCCCGCTTGTGACGCTGACTTTTTTTATCTCAACCAAAACCTTAATTAATTGAAAAGAATTTATTGGTCAAGCGGACCACGAAATCTAATAAAATTAAATCAAAATGTTCTCACTCACCTAGGAAATTGTGTTTTACACGACCACTGTTCCGAATTAAATATAGAAAAAACCTCGGTGAATAGCTATAATTGCAAACGATCGTTTGTGTGATCTCGGACCGTTTAAGAGAGCCAGCCATAAGTGTTGATAAGGCTAGGATATCTATCTCGGTTCAAAGAGCATAGCACTCGATTCCGTATCGTTTCAGTCTTTACTCGGACCCGAATCGACAATAAACCAAACAGGTGAGCTAGAAGAATTGTTTACAAACAGGACGACGAAATAGGGATAGGTGGGCGGAAGGTGGAATATTCACTTCGTTACATCTTCGTATTTTTCAACTCCAAATGTTTTAATATCACGTGAGCTATATTTATTTTAAACTCGTTCAACTGATAAGCCGAAATAATCGTAGCGATGAAAGCCATAATTTTTCGATTCAGATTTTATCCGTGTTATTTCTTGTTTTCATTTCATGGCATTTTTTATTTTTATTTTTATTTTTTTTTAAAGAAAGGACTAATTTTAGGAATTTTTAATCCACATTTATGAAGAACTTGATTTTACCCGCGACTTCTTCCACGCAGGACTGTTTTAACTGTACCTTTTTAATATGATACACATAATGTTTCATTTCTCAAATTCTTCAGTTTTTCAGTTCATTTCGGTCTATACATGGGAAAAAATGTACATATGATCCCCTTAGGGACGGAATTTCAAAAAATACTTTCTTAGCGGTTGTATAGCAATCGCCATCCATGTCACTATAAGAATGCACTGTTGAAATTTCAGCTTTTAAAATACAGCGGTTTGGTCTGTGCGTTGTTTGTCAGTCAGTTTCGAAGCTNAATAAACGTTCGCTTTGAGCACTTTTATCAATTCTGATGGTTTGGTTGAGTGGAACGGTCGTCCGTCAGGTCATATACCTACACCACTGCTGTCTATAATACAGATACTGCGGTAAAGTTTTTATCTTCCTAACTTTTCTATCAACCAAAACAATTTTTTAGTTTTTGCGACTGCAATGTATCAGAAGTTTTGCTTGTATAACCGATTCAGTTATTTTTGCGACTATAGAGTGTTAGTGTAATTTTTGCGACTATTGACTGTTAGTGCGCAGTGCATTTGAAATGCGCGGGAAACGTGTATCATACCAGGACCCGAAGGCCCGGTTGAACAGCTGACAACTGAAAAAATAGATGTTTACATGTTCACGAAAAATTTCTGAAACCTCTCATTATTTTTGTAAATCCTGACGTGAATTTTTTTTTAACTACGAGGGTTTGCAGAGGTTATATCAACCCTCGAGGTGACGGTGATTTTGAAAAAAAGCCTATTTGTAAACATGTCGGGTTCGAATGCAAGGCCGCTGGATTCGAACCCGAGACCTTCACCTTACAGTGATGAGCGCTGTGTCAACGCCTAAACCGTTGCGGCCACCGACGCCCCGACGTCCATTATTTATATGCCTATCTATATTCTCTAAACCCTCCCGGCACTAATACAAACAAAGTGTGAAAGTTTCAACGAAATCGGTTTAGAAGTTTTCGGTTTTATCATTAACACACACACACGAACATTCATTTTTATATAGAATCGATTGATAAAGAGAATTTACATTGTTGAATAGTTTTCCGTCTGAATAAAATGAACAAGTTACAATACATTCCATTAACAACTCCTTCAACATTACAATGAAACCTCTATCCAAATAACGTTTGCACACATTGCTCAGGTTACTTTGTTCACAACAAGCATCCCTGTCGGACATACAATTAGATAAATAAACGACATTAAACGTTAAATTGATAATTAAATTCACTAATTTCGTGGTCCGCTTGACCAATTCATATATTACAATTAATTAAGGTTTTTAGTTGAGAAAAAAAAGTCTTGAAAAATTGTCAAGAGAGACATTGTCGGAGTCATTGAAAAATGGCAAAAAGGAGGGAAAATTCAAAAGTTGCGGTTGAGATGGGAAGTTGGTGTCCGAGTGGATCGAGGTCACGATAGCTCAAGTGGTAGAGCAGCGGCTATCAAGCCGAAGGTCGTGGGTTCGAATCCTGCTCGTGCCATTGACTTTTTTATCTCAACTAAAAACCTTAATTAATTGTTAAATTGATCCATTAAACTTAGATAGTTTTAATTTAAACACTTATGACAGACTGAAATAATAAATTTTAGCAAGAAGACTACTTGATTTTGAATTATTTACGATATATTTCTCAGCAATAATTGTTATTTTAATTCTTTTTATATTTAATACAATTTTGTATAGGTAAATGCACAGTGAATTGCATGGAGGTCTAAATCCACGTTTACATTTGGAAATAAGTAGTTGACCTTTTTTCATTAATTTTATCACACAACTAAACGGACTCATAAAATCATTGATGCACAACATATTTTATTTTTTATGCGTAGTAACTCAGAGTAGGTTATCACAGGGATTCGTCATTTTCATACTACAATAGCTGTGTTCTTGTACATTGGGTAGTTTTTTTATATCCCCAACAGCTGGCCATTTATTAAAAAAAACTATAAATAAAAAATTTAAAAAACTTACACCCATGAAAAATAACAACTCTTGTATCTATAAAGTACGGCGATAAGAGCAGCAGGGAAGGAAAAATTATGACTCGACTGAGTAAAACACAACAATCTTTTGCCAATTTGCCAGTCAACGTGTCACAGACTTAGTACGTAAATACATTCAAAAACACACAAAAAACCGGATGCTAGTATTTATTTGTTAATTTTCTACAATAACTAGATATACAGATTAATAAATGACTAAAACCCTAAAAACAACATTAATAACTTGTTGTTTACCTTTATAGAATGTTTACACTCTTTAGGTTCAAAATAAAGAAAACAAAAATAAAAATAAACAAAAAAACGGACACTAGTATTTATTTGTTAAGTTTCTAAATTAACTGGGTATGTATACAGATTAATAATTGACTAAAAAGCTAAGAACACATAAATAACTTGTTGTTTAACTTTATAGAATGTTTACACTATTTAGGTCAAAAATAAAGAAAAAAATTCATTAGTTTTAGTGGTCCGATTGACCAATTAATATATTTCAATTAATTAACTTTAGTTTAATTGAGATAAAAAGTAAGTGTCACGAGCGGGATTCGAACTCACGATCTTCGGCTAGATACGCCGCTGCTCTACCACTTGAGCTATCGTGACCTCGATCCGCTCGGACACTAAAAAAAAAGAAAATGAATTTGAAAAATGGCAAAAAGGAGGGATAATTCAAAAAGGTGGGGTTGAGATGGGAAGTTTATGTCCGAGTGGAATGAGGTCACGATAGCTCAGGTGGTAGAGCAGCGGCGTATGTAGCCAAAGACCGTGGGTTCGAATCCCGGTCGTGACATTGACTTTTTATCTCAACTAAACACCTTAATTAATTGAAATTAAAAAAAAAACGGAAACTAGTATTTATTTGTTAATTTTCTAAAATAATTAGGTATACAGATTAATAATTTACTAAAAACAACATTAATGACTTCTTGTTTACCTTTATAGAATGTTTACACTCTTTAGGCTGAAATTATAGAAAATCATTCAATTTCAATACCAGAGCCAACTTGTCAAGTGAGATTTTAAATTTTTGGTTTTTTAAATTGTTTTCTTTGCTGAAATAATAAATTTGTCTAAAAAAATTGTTTTTTAAACGATGGTTTTAAGTCCAGAAGAACTCGCCCGGTCGTCCAATACATAGCCCCAGGGTACGCCGCGCTCTACCCCGGTGTAGGGCCTAGGGAAGTTTTGACCGAAAGAAGATAATGGTCGGCCGCTATGGACGATGGCTAAAGAGGAACGTTTATTTTTCTCACGGCACATTTAACGACTTCCTTGATAGGTAGTCAACTGCACTGTCTGGACGTATGGGGATCTCTGGAACAGTCATCCAAAGGCTTCGTGAGAATAGCTTAGACTCTGGTCATCCCGCATCAGCTTCTCTATTAGTGGAGAGGTATCGATTGGAAAGACGACTATTCGTAAACCAGCATCTCGAATGGACACTTGAACAATAGGGGCTCTTTGCAGATAGACTGCGGATTTGGTTTATGGCAATCAAATGACCGGGCTTCCTTGTAAAAGACAGTCAATTATGGTATACGGTGGAACCACCGCGCATGCCCGTACCAAGCTGATTATCATACAGAATAGATCTTTGACTGTACTAAAGGTACATTAAGAAAGTCGCTTAATTGGGGGCAACTTCCTGTTAAGGCATGATAATGCTTAGAAGGTCGAGTTGTCAACCATTACTTGAAGGTTGTAGGCGTTGCCACAATGAATTAGGCAGAACGTTCTCCTGAAATTATTCTTGTAAAACACTCATGGGACAAAGATGTAAATCAGCAAATAGCATACAGATAAAGAGACGGGTAGACATCCTTCGCCGGCTTCAGCAAACTTTGAATTGCTTCAAAAAGGTAGAGAACGAGATTCTGCCCCTTTAGAAAATGAAATATATGTTATTAAGACCAAAACTAGGTATTAAATTGTTAATTAGATGTTAATCTATCTCAAAACGATTTTCCCTTGTTTTGGTGAAATTTCTTTCCAACTACCCTAATAAAATAATTATTATTAAAACGAATGAATTTTTGATCTCTTTGATTCACATCGAAAGAAATGCATTGCAATTCATATGACGATAAAAATAATAGTTTAAAATAAACACCAAAATACGAGTATCTGATATTTTCTTTGAGTGTATTTTGTAGGTCAAGATAATAGGGGTATTCACGGTGTTTGTAAGATGTTAACTCGTGTTAATTCGAATAGAGAAATGTCCTGTAAGATCGTGAACGTCCCGTTCCTTTCTTAGCATGTTAAACGTTAATTTTTCCGCGATGGTGCGCTTGGCGATTGGTAGAACCAAAAATAAATCTATACCAGTCCTTGAAGGCGTGTTGTTATTTGTTTTGGTTTTCTTTTGTGTTAAATTGTAAGACGCCAGAAATTAATAAAAAAGGAAAATTAATCAGTTCTTTCATTCAAAATGCTATCTATGCACTCGAAAAGTACTAACAAATAACACGTTTCAATTCATGCCGACATAACCTAACTTGTATCCTAACTAGTTATTCAGATATCGTGAGATGCGGTCGGGTGTGATGTAGGTTTCAGAAAAACATTTTCTTTATTATGTTTTTCTGAAACCTACATCACATCCGACCGCATCTCACGATATCTGAATAACTATCGATTAACGGTC